TGTCTGTCTTGGGTGGCCCTGCACGGCATAGCCCATAGTTTCTCTGAATTACTCAAGCCCCTTCGCCACGACAAGGCAGCAATCATTGAAGGAGAGGCAAACAGTAGAGGTAATTATTTACAGTACTTTTGGTCCTTGTCTATGAAAGCTATTTTTGGATCTGCTGTGTTTTCAACAAGCCTGGAATTGTTTGTTAGTTGAAGCCACCTCCACTTCCCTGACAAGAGATTACCATATTTGACAGACTCTTTATAATCAGCCCCAGTTTTAACACTGGAAGCTTTTTGTTGTTGCTAAGCAGCTACCCACATTTCAGCATTAAGATGTGGCTCCTTTGGCCATAGCTAATTTTATAGTGAGTGAATTCCTGAGAGCTTGAGAGCATCAGTTTTTAAATCTCCTGTTAGCCTGCTTTGAATAAAGATGCACTTGGAATGAGGGAGCTTGTAAGAGGAACATTATGAAAAAAAATACTGTGCGGTGAAATAGTTACATGACCAATTTAGCGTCATTAATTGATGGTGTTTTGCTCTCTATGTCGCAGTAAAAGTGGGAAAAAAACCCATACATTTTTGGGTTCCAACATGGGATCTTTTGATCTTTAAAATCAGGACAGGAATTTATAAGTGCAGAGAGAAGAGAGAGAGAGAGAGATTTAAAAGCATATGGAAAACCTTTGGATCCTTGTGGAAAATCTAAAAACATGATGAGTTTCAGCATCAAACTAAAAGAAACAACAAATTCTAATACATCTGAATAGTGTATTAGGCCACCACTTGCCTAAGGCCAGATCCAGCTGCCTATGCTACCAATTTACTTTGTTGTAACCAACCCAGAGGCAAAAGAGATGGGTGAAGGGAAATCATATCTGGAGCAGCAGCACTTGATATTTGCGACAAGATGCTACCAGACTGGTGTTTTTTGTTTTAGTTCAAATAGTTCTTTTCTAAATATTGAGAACTAAAATAAGGCAACCCAAACAGAAATAATAGAAAAAAGAACTAAGAAAAACTGAGAAAGAGAACACATCAGCCAGAATCTTATGGGTGCTTGTGTAAAATCTGTCTAAAGGCTTGGTCACACGGCTGATTGGTATTGAATCTGATGCATTTTAAATTGATTTACAGTCACATGGTTTTTGCACTACTGTGCACGTTCACTGTGAAAATTATTACTCGGATATAGAGACTTAAAACTGCCTTGGGAAACTACACTTATTTTAACCATTATGCTTGCAGACATATTTTCAATATTGTGATCTATTTAGAATGGATTTGAGGTTTTGTCCTGCGCCTGCCTGCCTTGACACTGGCTGCCTCCCCCGGCCACAGCTTCTTCTGCTGTAGGGTTGTTTTTCATTTTTTTCCCCCTCAAGGAGGATAGCCATAGTCTGAAATGACAGTAGGAATTTATGAGCCAACAGAAAGAGAAAAAAGAGAAATCACTTCCTTGTTCTTCGCAAAGTGAAACTGACCAAAGAAATTTATGATATGGGGAACTTCTTTGCTTAAGAAGCAGGAGGGAGGGCTTTCCCCCTTTCTCTCTTTGCTGGCTCCTAAATTTCCAGTGTCATGTCAGACTATCACTATCTCCCTTGGGAAAAAATAAAAAAATAAAGGGAATCTACGTAAAACAAGGCCACAGCAGAAGCAGTGAGTGGCTGAAGGAGGCAGCCAGCAAGAGGCAACAGATACAATTTATACCAACAGAGGCATTCACGCATGCCAAAACCATGAAAAATAAATTGAATTTACATCTGCATTAAAACAAAAGACCCTCTGCCAGCCCAGTAAAATACCTCACTTCTGATTTTAAAAAAAAAAACACCATTCCTGGGCAAAAAATATGCTCTTCTTTGTCTGTTGTGTAGCTGGCAAAAGACCCTCTGCCAGCCCAGTAAAATATCTCACTTCTGATTTAAAGAAAAATACTATTCCTGGGCAAAAAATCTGCTCTTCTTTGTGTGTTGTGTAGCTGAGATTGTTAAAATCAGTTTTATTTAAGCAAAACCCAATTCAACCCTGGTTCCTATTGCCAGTATGACCAAAGCCTAACTTGCTGCAGTTGATTTATGAGGTACCAGGATATGTTTAAGCCATGCACTTGGTCACACATCCAACTGCACAACTAACATATGCCCCAGGACTTCATAAATTAACTGCAATTAGCTGCATCAAGCTACACAAAACTTACTTCAATGTCAGTAGGATGCTGGCCATCAAACTGAAGTCTAATTATTGATAAAGGGTAGTACATTTCATTTTTTCCCTTCTATTTTATGTTACCATTACAAATACAAAATAAATCCATTCTTAGGAGATTTTTAAATAATCATTTGTACTACAATTTGCATTTAAGCACTTTTCTGTCTTTTTGTGTATGTAATAAGTTTTTTATTTTGTTAGTTTTGTAATTTTCTGTGTATTTTATATTTAATAAAAATGTCAAAAAGGCTTTTATAGATTTTGTGCAGAATAACATTCTGAAGTCTGTGCAAAATAAATGCATGGCATTTCAGATTTCTAGCATTTTCATGTTACCTTGTAAGTTGCCATTTAGATAACAATAGCCAAAAACCAAGTACATTTCAGATTTCTAGCATTTTCATGTTACCGTGTAAGTTGCCATTTAGATAAAAATGGCCAAAAACCAACTACACATACATGTACATCTGTCTAACTGCAGAGGAGTAACATGGAGCAACAAATGGCCACTAATTAACAAATCTCTGATTAAATTCCTTGTCATCTGCCGAGTCATTCAACTGATACATAACTATGAATTCTGTTGGGGACTCATTAATAGCGGTGATTCACCACTCTTGAGATATGCAACTGCACCTGTGCAGGTGTAAATATGGAAGTGGATTTTGGTCAAGATGTTTGGGGTCTGTCTTGCCACATTCAGTTTTCATTAAGGTGTCTTATAATGGTATAACTGTAGCTAATAATGCCTTCAGTTATATTGAAATGCAGTTCTAAAAATAGATAGCCTTGGTATTTTGCCAGTGGTGATGAAGAACTCCTGAAATAATTTATGAAGCCCAAGAGCAGGAAATTTTGCAGTTCACAACGCAATGTTTTTTCCCCCCGTGGTACATATATGTTCCCATATGAGACCATCTGCACCCCACAAGTACAGGTGTGTTCTTAGCTGGTACTGCAAGCTGTTGTTTTCCCAAGACAATGTCTTGTTTTGAGATTCTCCTGTCATAAAATTGATACTACTCTCAGACTAACACTTGTACCCCATTCCTCTATGACTTTGATTATACTCTAGTGCTTTCCAATTACAGTATTAATGGAGAAAGAAGGATGTAACTGACTGTAGACTTCGCTTAACCTAAAACAAGATTTCCTTCGCCTACAGCAAGATTTGTGCTTTGCCAAGTGACTTCAAAACTGAAGTCCCGTCTTCCTAGAGAAGATGTCTTGTCAACACCTTCCTTCTTTTTCACAGTGCTGTAGACAAGTTGCTTTTCATTTAGCAAGCACTTGTCTCTATGGCAACACTGTACAGCAACTGCTCATGTAGAAAAGGAATGCATTGGGAAAGAAATTAGTGTAATTTTAGCTGTTTCTGGTGATGAATAGCATCCATTCGAAACTTAATTGCATTTATCACTGTCTTCTAAAAAATGACATCTAGCATCTTTTTTGAAAAACAACCTAAGGTGGAGTTCATAATATTTGAAATGCATTAAACAATTATAGAAAATACATAGTAGAACAGAATACTGAACTATCCAATCAGCTGATTCTCCCCCCAAATGCATGCATCTCTCTCTATATGGAAAATAAACAATATATTATTTCTTAGTCTTTTTCTAAAATATGAGTACAGAATAAGAATTAGACTGAAATTAAACATCATACTTATACAGTAACTGAAATTAACATTCTATGTGTGTGTGATGTTTAATTTCCATTCTATAGCTATGATGTACACATATTTTAGATCAAGACAAAGAAGTAATATTTTATTGTTTGTTTGTTTTATTTGTTTGTTTTGTTTTGTTTTTATGTTATTCTCTCAATGAGAGACTCAAGGCAGTTCAGTGTTAAAAAACAGAACTAAAACACAATAAACACTAAAAAAATTAAGCTATTTCCATTGTAACAATTGCATGAAAATGAAACAAACCTGTTCAGTCTGTCTTAAGGAATCTGGCATCTTGTGCCTCCCTTATGAATTTCCTTTCTTTATTATCTCTAGCACTGCTGTATTAATTTTCTAATGTCTGAAGGTTGAAAGATGCAACATGTAGCTGCAACAACATTTAGTACAGCTGTCCCCACCAAGAGTAATGATTGTTTTCGCAGATGGCTCTAAAAGAGATTATATGCACATTTCTTTTTTTCAGATCCTCAGCTGTTATTGGTTGCAGAAGATCAAACATCTGTGACACATCCCATGTTTGAAATATACTAGCTCAGTGGAGAGGCATGTTTCAGGCCCAGAAAATCCCAGAGGATAACTCTTTTCTTCAGGTAGGACTGTGACAAAAATCTACCCAAAACCAAGAGCCATGACTCATTTAGTTTCAATAATACTGAGACAGGCAAACAGTCCTAATTGGTAAAGGCAGCTTCCCAAGTTCTTAATTAGAATTTGTAGAATTTATACATGCAAGAGGGGATCAATACTTTACTGTCATAATAATGAAATAAAGAATAACTGAAGTATTATGTTATTCATGTATGCGTGCAGCACAACATGCTGATAAAAATAAATCACAACAATGGAATCTTGTAATTGCAGAGCTGGAAAAAATACCAAAGGTCTTCTCTTCCACCCTCTGCCAATGCTGGAAACCTACATCCAAATGGCCGTCCAAATTCTGTTTAAAAACCTCCAAGGACAGGGAGTCTGCTCTCCTCCAAGGTAATCTGTTCCCCTTGATGAATGTTTCTTTTATACAACAGTGGCTGGAATCCAATATTAAGATGTAACTAGATTAGGCCCATTGAATCAATGGAACGAACAGAAGAGTTGACTCATCAAATCCCCACTGATTCAATGGACCTGCTCTCATTAAAACTTTTTACACTGATCATCAGGATTTCAGGATTAGAAACACTTTACCTTGTCTATTGTTTGTTTGTAATAAGGATAAGTTATATAGTTCCAAGAGATGCTGTGGGGGCAGGAAATCCTTGGCCTTATTCTTAAATGCAGCTTCTCTTCCTTTCTTCTTTTTCTTTTTCTTCTTTTTCTTTTATT